TTTTTCAACAGGCTTGCTTCAGGAGTTCGGGTTATAATACAATCCAAAGCAACTTTCAACAGCGAGCGGAGCTCCTAGAATTATCCAAAGATTGGATAGCGTCAATTTTATGTAGATCTCATGCAGAAAATGCTGTTCATACTGTAACTAGTCCTTTGATGTTTATGTTTTCACTAAAATTCAGTTCTGAGTTTCATTTAATGTTTCTGCAACTCTGGAATTGAGAAACGAGTGAAGAAAATAGCACATTTTCTGGGAGGATCAAGTATAGATTGAGAACTTAAGAGTGGCTTCTGTAGAGGAAAAAAATTGTTGCCAAACGTGATTATGAAAACCTTGTTATGAATACACGACCATATTTGCAGTCCAACAGAAACTTTTAAGATTATGATCGCGTTTTATACAAACAGGTCCACAAGATCATAGCGACGACTAAAAATATGTCCTGCAAGAAAATTGAACCGCTTTACAAAAGAGTAACTCCCTCGTACACATTCTCCAAATAAATCTTTGACGAGAAATCATCTGACCATCTCTGCGATTCTAGGAGAGCACGAAGAAGATTCAGGGCCTCCTCGTATCTGTCTAGTGTTATACGAGTTGCATTTCAAACATTTGTATGCGAGGATGTGATAATGCACTTCAGATGTTGCTTCGCAGTCATTGCATAGTATCCACACCTAATTGTGGAAAAATCATTAAACTAAGCGAGAAGCGAGTTTATACATGATTTTATCCACTTCAATATATACAATGCATACCATTTTGTTATTGTATGTCTCTGGCATCTGAGTCGAAGCTACCTGTATTCAATTTTACACTACAAATTTAGCCAAATGGAAAGTGCTGTATTTATATGAGTACCGATTGAGAGGAGATATTAGTACCTCTTCGTCGAGCTTTCTCCATACATTAGACATATCGCAGATGGATTTCGAGCAGACAGGACACGAGTACCTAAAGATCCCAAAGAAAAAACACAAATACTCTTGGTAAACAAGCAGAATTAAAAATGAAGCGC